GGCAGCTGGATAATATACTGTGGTACCTGTGACTCCTAGTCTTTCCTGAATCGAGCTTGGATCTAAGCAAACCCTTGGGTAGTGTGTGAAAACTTCCCTGTCAGAGCCTCGAGCTAATTCTTCTTTTTGTTTGAAGTTCCTTGGCTTGTGGCTGGCAAATTGGAGCCCTCAACCCCAGAGGAGCTTTTCATTTGAAAGGAGTTGGCACAGAGTCAAGGGGCAAAGTACCTGCTCTGCTATGTAGAGCTGGGAGTGGTATCTAGGGATTTTTCCTTCTAGTTTTTACCACCTTGGTTTTACTGTATAAATAGAGTTGGGGCGCCAGGGTGGCTCAGTCTGTTGAGCATCCATCTCTTCATCTCAGCTCAGGTCTTGAGTTCAAGCCCTGCGTTGGGCTTCACGGTGGGCAGGGAGCCTGTGTAAAAAAATAAATAAGTAAAAAAATAGGGTCAAGGGAAGAGCATCTTGTTTCTTGTTGATCAAGACCTTTTGCCAAGCCAGGGTACTACTTTTTGGCATGGCCATAAACATTTCTTTTTTCTTTCTTTCTTTCTTTTTTTTTTTTTTATTTATTTCTAGGAGAGAGAGAGAGACCGCGTGACCAGGGGAGGGTCAGAGAGAGAGGGAGACACAGACTCTGAAATAGGCTCCAGGCTCTGAGCTGGCAGTCAGCACAGAGCCCGATGTGGGGCTCGAACCCATGAACCGCGAGATCATGACCTAAGCGAAAGTCGGGCGCTTAACCGACTAAGCCACCCAGGCGCCCCAAACATTTCTTTATTAGTGGAAAATGAAGAACTTTCTAGGAATCTCAACTTGAGATTCTTCCAGATTCTTACTTGTGCTCCTTCAACTGTGTGGATAGCACTTTCTAGCTCCACAAAGGCTTCTTGGTCGCATCCCCCTCTCCCAGGAATTAAAAAAGAAAAAAATTACTCTTAGCCCCCAAACATCCTGTCTGCCTGCTGCAAAGACTCCTTTCTCCCCATTCTCCCTCTCCCCACTTTCCTCTTCTGGTGACATTTCATGATCTTACCCCAGAGTGTCTTCTTACTCTATATGCTGTGAACTGACTTAATTCCATGCTTTTTCAGAGCCCATCTCTCCTAGTTTGACTTACAAGACACACAAATAGAGAACTTCTTCCCAGCGCTGCCTTTTGAATATTTTTGCTGACTATAATCCTGAGGAAGCTGCAGGTCATTTGAAGGCCCACAGGGGGCAGCACTAGGAATGACTTCCCCTCTAGTCCCGTCTCTGCTGGGAGCAGGGGTACTGGGAGATGGTGTTTTTCACCAGACTACAGAAATCCTGTGATTGAGATCAAAGACTCCTTTGCAGCAGGCTGGTTGCTTGTTTGGTGTTGTTTCAGTGCTCCTGAGGAATCCAGTCTAATTTTCTTGACAATAAAAACGTACATGAAAATCTATCTGAGCCACCCAACCTCCCACAAACAGTCTGCCTACATATCATTTCCAGGCACTATTAGCATTTGAGGTGAAGTTCTGTTATACACTCAGGCTGTGGCTCTCTGAAAGTCAGTGCATCACAGAACTTTGTCTCGAAAGCTTTCTAGCAGCTACACATTTGGGAGTGGGAGGGAAGAATAGACCCTTTAAATCCTTTGAACATGGCCTTAGCTTGTAGGGTCTTTTTCAGTAATCAGCATTTAATGTGTTATGAGGTCAAACCTAGTTCATTGTCCAGGAGGCCCATTTCTCAGTAGCTGGGAGTTATTCATAAACTTGCCCTTTGCAAAACTTAAAATGAAATTACATCACCAGTAATGGTTTCTGGGGCCTTTAAACTGGCTAGTTTTATGGGATGAGAGAAACTCTTGGCCTCCCCACTCCTGAGAGGTAAAGGCCCCCGGCTGACATGGAAGCGGCTGTAGTCAGGAGGTGGCCGGAGACGTAAGGGAGAAGCCGCTGGCTCCGGCTGTCGCGGAGTGGGGAGTTAAAGCAGCATCAGCTCATGCCTCCCTTCTTGGCTTTATTTAGTTATTCCTTTGGAAATCTGAAATGACCAGCCTTTTCTCTAGTGCCTTCTTACCTCTTCCAGAGCTGTAGTTAAGTCAAATCTGGTCTTCTCCCCGCCTTCCTTCGACTGCCTTTTATCCTTCCTGGTAAGATCCAGTTCCTATTTGGGGGCTTTCCGTGATAACATCTTCTAGGAAGCCAGTGCGAAAGGCCAAGGGCAGAACCCGGGAATCTCTTTCTGTCTTTGCCAGCAGTTTTAGGCACTCATACCCCAGTGGCCACAAAGGGCATTGTCTCTCTGCTGGTTGGCTGGTGGCGATAGGGTTTTTCTTTCCTTTGGGATCCATCCCATTCTTTCTAGGGATGCCAGACTCTATGGCTGCAGGAACCAGTTACCTATGCCAGATGAATGCCCAGTTTAAACCATTAGGAAGCTCTCCAAGATTTCTGTGAATGTGCAGAGAACGGAGCCAGAGATTTCTGGGGAAAAGTAGGAAAAAGGATCTCTTTCAAATTTCCTTCCCCGTGGGCTTCTTTTCCTCTGTGAAGGAAACTCATTCCCATTGGTGTCTCCCTTTTGGTCAGTTGAGGTTGGTCCCTCAAGTAACTATGGAATTAAGTCTGCTTAATGGGGGAGATCTTTCTGTGGGGTTTTGGGGTTAGGAAAGCTTCTCCATTTGTGACCTTTCAGAAGAGACTCTGGAGGACTTTCCTCTGCTAGATGCAGAGTTCCTTAGTTTGAGGCAGACTATTTATTCCGGGGAGTAACGTGTAGACGGTGGGCATCTCTGGAGTGTTGATCAGAGCAGACACACGTAGGTTAGTAATATCACCCAGACTGGCCACAACAGGACCTCTGCCGATACGTGGGAGTCTAATTCTAAGAGTTCCCCTAGATGCTTACTGCTTCAAGAAATGTTTTACTTTATTCTCAAACTTCATTTATTGTCACAATTATCCAATAAATACCGAGAGTGTAGTGTGTCACATGTTGCTCTGGACACTTGGAATACATCAGGGAACAAGACACAGAAATTGCTGTTCTCAAGAATTCAGGTTGGGGCACCTGGGTGACTCAGTCGGTTAAGCGTCCGACTTCGGCTCAGGTCATGATCTCACGGTTCGTGGGTTCGAGCCCCGCGTCGGGCTCTGTGCTGACAGCCAGCTCAGAGCCTGGAGCCTGTTTTGGATTCTGTGTCTCCCTCTCTCTCTGACCCTCCCCTGCTCATGCTGTCTCTCTCTAATAAATAAAACATTAAAAAAAAAAAAAAAGAATTCAGGTGAGGGAAGCTCACGTTCTTCATCACCCTGTTGTCTAAAGGCTGGGTTCCCTTTACTCTCATTCTTAATTCCCCAAGGCAGTGTTGGCCATTTGTATAAAATCATAAACCTCCCGGTGCCTCATGGGACAGTTTGCCTTTGTAGAGGCTGCAGTTTCTGGATCCTTGACAATAATTCTTTCATGCTCACTCTTGGGTCTTTATTAAACACACGCCACATGCTTGGAGGTTATATTTGGCCCCTGTGAGGTCCTCGGGTTTCCTAAGCAAGGCCAGGAAAGGGAGGCAACAGCCCTGTCTCACAGCCCAGGGGAGGGAGATCAATGGTAAGTAATGTTAATGAGCAGTTCAAGGAATGTGGAGCTCCTGAGTGGCTCCTCGGTTAAGCGTTGTCGTTGGACTCTTGATTTCCACTCAGGTCATGATCTGGCAGACTGTGAGTCGGAGCCCTGCATCGGGCTCTGTGCTGACAGTGCGGAACCTGCTTGGGATTCTCTGTCTCTCGTCTCCCTCTCTCTCTCTGCCCCTCCGCTGCTTGCTCGCTCATTCTCTCTGTCTCTCAAAAATAAACAAACATTAAAAATAGAAAAAAGAAATTCAAGGAATGTGAGGTGCGTCTAGCTGGCTCAGTTGGTGGAGCATGTGACTCTTGATCTTGGGGTTATGAGTTCGAGCCCCGCGTTGGGCGTGGAGCCTACTTAAAAATACATTAAGAAAAAAATAAGAAATTTAAGGAAGATGAGCCTGCAGACCCTTTCCATACACATAACGCTGCCTCCCTTCCTTTTCCTCTCCTGGTTAGCTTGTTCCTTAGATGTTGCAGGAGTAGAGGAGCCTTTGCCAAGTGATATGCCATTAAGTGATGTAAGCATAAAGGCTGAGGCTGTGGTTCCTTTACGAAAGCCGTTATCCTCAAAATTTGACTTTTGGTAGCGAAAGAATTCTCCCCTCCTGCCCATTAATTCCAGGCTTCTCAGACCCTCTTCTTACTACTTTTTAACTCCCTCAACATTCAGAATGGTTTTTGTCTTGGCAAGTTAGGCAGTAGTGTTGGGAGTATCATAGAGGAATTGGGATCATAGGGGAGGTCTTGGGAGATGGATGGCTCACTGGGCTGCATTCCGAGCTGGGGTGTCTGCGTGCACGAGTGTGTGCACGTGTGCGAGTTCATTTCCCTCTGTTCAGTGTGTGGGCGGCTCAGGGAAGGCTTGCTTTATGCCTCTGCATTGCTACTGCATTGGGACTGCAGAAACTTCTGAGTACCCTAGGGCACTCGACCCTGTTTTCAGATAGCCTCATGCAGTGCCTATTAATTAATCTGGTCACGTTCCATACCTACCTGTACAGGGGAGACGGGGTGGGGGTATAATTTGGAAAATAACTGTAGCATAATATTTGGAAGGCAGCTATGCTCACCACTATGCCACCAACGCTGTAGCATAATATTTGGAAATAACAGCACAACCTACCTTGATTAAACCCTCTGTGAGCCGGGCTCAGAGAACTGGTTCTTTGACCGTGTTTCAGAGTTCTTTGTTGAAATGCCCCCTCCCTCAATTCAGTTCATTCACCGCTTGAGCATTCTCAGCAGGAGTTGCCTGACTCTAACCAGGGTGGGTTAGGGGACCTGCAGAGGCACCTCTGGATCCCCTCGCAGCCCCAGTGGGACCAGGGGAAGATAGCTGGTTTGCCACTGGTAGCAGGAGCCTTCAGGACTGAAGGTATGTTCATATCTCTTCAGGAACCCTCCCTGTATACCGTCAAAGCCATCCTGATTCTGGATAATGACGGAGATCGACTTTTTGCCAAGGTGAGATTCCCTTTGAAATTCACTGCGGAGCAAGACAAAGACTCGTTCTGAGATCTGGACCTGGGGACCAGGTTATATTAACTCCTATGATAACTCCAGTTATATTAACTCCTGTTCCTTGATGCTGTAATTTTGAGAATTCTCCCATTTTCGTGTGACCGCCCTGGATAAAACCCAAACTGCTTCTGTCCCTTAGTCCCCCTGCTTCCGTACTTGACCTCCTTTGTTAGCATCAGAGCAGGGAAAAACCTGGGAACTTGGTTTCTGAACAGTACAGTGTCTGGATATGAGAAGCAGGCTGCCTGTGCCCATCATTCTTGTCCCCATTCCTTTTGCCTTGTCACCCTGCCTGCATTTTCCCAGGAAATGCTCTGGCAAGTTCCAGGGTTCCAGCCCTAAGTCTGCAGTCACCACTAAGCTTGTTACCTCCTGATTTCCCCAGTGTGGTGTTTCTAACTTTGGATCTATTGAAAGAGAGGAGAAAGGACACCCCTCTCCTCTCCCTCTGTAGTGCCCCCCACCCCGTGGAAATTTTTTCTGTCCCTGGTGTATTAACTCCGGGCGAGCACAGCATAAATCAATCAGCAGGTAGAGATTAGTTTAGAATTCACCAGCTGTTCCTCCCTGTAATTGGATGTAACTATGCAGGACACCTTTTGAAACAGTTATCCAGTTACTAAATGCCAGACCTGTCATAGGTCTTCAGCTGACTGCGACGGATTAGCCCCTAAAGAGCAGAGCGATTTAGCAGTCTGTATCTCCACCCCCGTGCCAGGGAGAGCTTGGGAGTGGGCTCGGCAATGTGCTGGATGGTCTCCTGCTTTCAGTTTTCAGAAAAGAGAGTGGAGATATGAGAGATTAGACAGGGTGTGCCTTTCTTTAGAGGAATGAGGCTTTTGCAGCTTCTCCCCGACCCTCAGCTTCGTACTGTGAATGAGAATCTGGAAGGAGTGTTTGTGCCTCTAGTGCCTTTTGTGTTCTCTAGTGCTGCTCCCCGACGTGGGGTCACTCCTGGGAATCACTCGATGAGGCTGGTCTCGGGACCGCTCTCCCAGAGTGCAGACAGGGCTAGAGCTTCGCCCGTAGGGCTTGCAGGCCCTTGGCTTACAGTCTTAGAAGTGTGATATGGGCTTGCTTACGGCAGGGTCCCTAAATTTTTTTTTTTTCTTTTTGGTATTCTATTACTCACTGCCCATTCCCTGCCTCCATAGTTCTTCCTTCCTCGTGGTGGTGTTTTTCCCTCACCCCATGCCTTAAAGGAAAGAAATCCAAGATCCAGGGCAAAGCACCATCACCAATCATTCTGGGCTCCCCGCTCTAATGACCCAACCCATCTCCTTTCCCTCCGACCAGTACTATGACGACACCTACCCCAGTGTCAAGGAGCAAAAGGCCTTTGAGAAGAACATTTTCAACAAGACCCACCGGACTGACAGTAGGTCACTTTCCTTTCACTGCTCCCGGTGTTGCGGGGACCGTGGTGTGCAGGGGGTGGCGGCGGGACTGCAGAGAAAGGATAAAATGACTGCCTCCTCTCTTCTCTCTTTTCCTCCTCCCCTCATATAATAAACTCTTCAGAAATGTAATGGGGAGGTGAGTGTACCTCACGCGGGAATACCGTGCTGGAAGGTTGGCTGTTAGCTACCTGTCTAGTCCCTGGATTTATGAGCCTCACTTGACAAATTTAACTGCAGCTCTGCTTATTGTACCGCATCCATTAGGGCAGGTAAATGGAAGTCTGTAAAGGTGACCGCTCTGCATTTTCACCTCCGAAGGATCGACTAGTATCCTGTCTCATATACAAGGAGGGAAATAAGGGGAGCTGGCAGGGAGGTGGTCAGAGGAGAACATGTTTCGATTCCCCCAAGTTTACACTTCCCTTCTTCTACCACCTGGAAAGAAAAGCCGGTCAACTTTGGTCTTTGGACGTTATTACAGCCTACCTCCCTTGAGCCCAAACAGCTGGATGCCAGGAATGCATGGTAACTCACTCTATAGGACTTGCTTACCTCGGGGCCAACCAACCAACCTCTGTCTCTACCTTCCCCCCCACCCCCGCCCCCAGGTGAAATTGCCCTCCTGGAAGGCCTGACAGTGGTATACAAAAGCAGCATCGATCTCTATTTCTATGTGATTGGCAGCTCCTATGAAAATGAGGTGAGAATCCCCATCGCCCTGTGCTATTGCTGATCCCACTTCCTAAACCACAGGCAGGACACCGTTACTGGTTCTGGACCCTAGGAGTGCCACGTCCCTCTGGCTTCTGACTGGGCTCATGAAGTTGTCAGAATCCTGCTGCCCTCACAGATGTGGCCTAGCAAACAGATCAACCTAGAGGCACCTGGCTGGCTCAGTCGGTTGAGCGTCCAACTTCGGCTCAGGTCACGGTCTGTGGTTCATGAGTTCGAGCCCCGTGTTGGGCTCCGTGCTGACAGCTCAGAGCCTGGAGCCTGCTTCCCATTCTGTGTCTCCCTCTCTCTTTGCCCCTCCCCGACTCGCACGTATCTCTCTCTCAAAAATAAATAAACTTATTTAATTTAATTTAATTTTTTAAGTTAAAAAATTAAAAAGAAATCAAACTAGAATGCACGTGTTCCCCACTTGCTCTTTTTTTTTTTTTTAAATTTAAGTAATCTCTACACCCAACGTGGGGCTTGAACTCATGACCCCAAGATCAAGAGTCTCATGCTTCTCTAGCTGAGCCAGCCAGGCACCCCCCTCACCATTGCTCTATTATCTCCACGTTGGAGATACCAGATATATCTTAATACATACTGATATATAATATCAATGGTCTTCCCTGCATAGAGTTTTCAGAGGTAGATTTCTTTTTTTTTTTTTTTTTAATGTTTTATTTATTTCTGAGAGAGAGAGACAGCATGAGCAGGGGAGGGTCAGAGAGAGAGGGAGATACAGAATCTGAAACAGGCTCCAGGCTCTGAGCTACCTGTCAGCACAGAGCCCAACGCGGGGCTTGAACCCACGAACCGTGAGATCATGACCTGAGCCAATGTCGGACGCTTAACCGACTGAGCCACCCAGGTGCCCCTCAGAGGTAGATTTCTGAGGTGAAGTCAAAGTTAAGGAGATACTTGCTCCTACTGTGAAGGCTCCACACCTGATGGAGCTTGGGTCACTTAGCCAACATTCAGGGTCATGTTGAAGCTGTACATTCTGAATGGGTCACTTGAGAAAACTGTGAATATAGCCCTGACCTGCTTCCTATACACAGGAAAAGCTACTTACCTCAGGTAGCAATGCCGAGGAGGGCAGAGAAGTAAAAATAAGCCCCCTCCCCCCCATAATTTGAAGCAAAAGTAAAAGTTTGAGAGAAGCAACCCTTTCTGAGCTCTTACTACTTTAAGTGTTTTGTAAGGTACCTTGTTACCTAATCCTTACAGCACTTATGTGAGTTGTGGGTATTAGTGTTCTTGTTTTATAGATGAAGAAACCAAAACACGAGGAACAATATGAAATTGCTTGCACATGAGCACCGTTGAACTACAGAAATGGCAGTTTCATATGGTTCAACCTAATAACTTTCCCTAGGTCACACATGTAGAAATGGCTCAGCCGGGATTTCAGCCCAGCTCTGTCTGACTCCAAAACCCATGCTCTTTCCACTAACTCCCTGACCTTAGTCACTGTTTGGTTAATGATTTTTTTCCCGAAGATATCAGATAACATCTGTGCAGTTGGTAAAGACCTGTAGAGGACCGCGGTAGGAAAGTTTGAACAGTCTGGCCAGAGAGAGATCTCAAATTGGGGGATTGTGTAGCAGAATTTATTTCTGCGAGAAGCCACAGGTCCTCTTCCTGTTTTTGCTCTGACTTCCCTTATGCTTTCGGTCCTTTGTGAAAGCCTGTGTCTTTTGATGCTTAATGAATTAGCAGGTTTTGTTTTCAGGTAGCAGCTTTCAGGGCCTTGAACCTTATCCTTCTGCTTCTTCTGTCTCCCAACAGCTGATGCTCATGGCTGTTCTGAATTGCCTCTTTGACTCATTGAGCCAGATGCTGAGGTGAGCAGGCCATTCTTGACATCTGCTTGGGAGAGAAAGTCACTATTCATTAGGCCCAGGGATTTGTGGGGGGAATTAGCAGAGGCTCCAGGGAATTGATTTACCTTGAGAAGTTAGGCTTATTATTTCAGAGTAATTTGCACTGATGGGGAGGCCTGGCTGGAAAGTATGTCCCTCCTGTGGGATAATTCTCCCAAGAAAGGGGATCGGGCAAGAGCAGTGTCTGTCTCCTCTCATATTACCCAGTGGCTCTGTCAGAGCTCTGAGCCCCCTTAAGGTGCTTTTCTAGACTCCATGAGAAGGTAGGGAAAGGGCAAGTGTAAGGAAGTGTCCCAGAGGTGACATCAGTACCCTGGGGATGGAGGCAACCCTCCCCGTTTTTAACTTTAGCCCTTAGTTTTTCGTTTCTGTAGGACAGGAAGAATATGCCATTTAGCCTCTCCTCCCTTCCACCTCCCCAGCAAGCCTCTGGTCCCTGTTTAGATGGGCAACAGAAGAGATATAAGATACTTCTCCTGAAAACATCCAGGGCTCTGCGCTTCATTCCCCGCAGCAGCTCCCAAGTGAACCCAGTACAGACAGCCATCCGCCATCCGGAGCAGAACAGCAGGCGCTCTCGGCCCCACAAAATCAGCAGGGCGAATGGCTCCGATTTCCTCAGGAAGGGGATGATTTATTTCTTAGCCAGGTGAATGAATAGACTTCATTTCAGTGATCTAGTGAAAGAGTCAAGCTGACGGATGTGACCGGCCACATGCACAACCACCGGAGCTGAAGCTGGTGGATGAGGGCCCTGACTGTTCCCAGCCCCCTGGCTGGGCTTCTTTTCAAGGCCTGAGGAGAGCTGGTGAGGGAGGGGAACGCAGGGGGAAATGGAGAGAGGCTTAGAAAGTCTGTCAGAACTTGAGTGCACATAGAGTTTGCACTCAATTCCTCTCCACCTCCCGCCACCTCCAGATTGGGTTTAGCTGTTTTTTTGCTTTTTTCCACCCACTGATGTTAGTGTTTATGAGCAATGTCATGAGCCACGTCACGGTAGGTAGGGAAGAAACAGTAGCTCTGGATAATTAACCCTTGAATAGTCAGAAATTGACTATGTTTTTTTGAATCTCTTTCCTGACATTCCTGATCCTTACTTAGCAACTAAGAGGAATAAGCTTAGAGTGGATTAGCCAACAAGTTCTTCTCCACTTACTTTTTAGACTGTGCGGTTGGTAGAGACATTTTATTGGTCTACTTTAGGGTCCCCAACCCAGACAGTGTCCTAGGTTCCTCTTACACACAGGCTGGTTTTTCTCTTCTTTGGGGACTCAGGAAAAATGTAGAAAAGCGAGCTCTGCTGGAGAACATGGAGGGGCTTTTCTTGGCTGTGGATGAAATCGTAGATGGAGGGTGAGTTTTCTGACCTGCCTGGACCTCCTTGGATCTGGGGTGAGAGGATGGGTAGTTGCCTCTGTCCTAAGGCAAGTGGCCCTAGTGACCGGAGTATCCCCACAATGGGTTTGTCCTTCAGGACAGAGCGAACGATGGTCTCTTCTTTGTCTTCGTAGGGTGATCCTAGAGAGTGATCCTCAGCAAGTGGTTCACCGAGTAGCGTTAAGGGTAAGAAGAGGGTGCTCCCCTCCATCCCCCGTCCACTCACCCTCTAGGGCCAGACCTGCTAAATTTATCTAAAGGTCAGGGCTTATAGAAAACATAGAACCTTCTCCTTCCCTTTCAAATTCTCATCATCTCAAAGAGAGGAAGCAGAAGGAGCATACTTTTGTCCCTCACCTGCTACCTAACGTCTCATACAGTCTTTGCACAGAGGGGACATCTAGTACACACCTAATTGAACCAAAGATTAATAAAAGAAACTTTACTATGAATGGTTCTGAAACTATAAAGGAAGTTGAGGTTGGCTTATACTTCCTTTGGGGATGGATCCCAGTCAAGTGAGGCAGAGGAGTGTCTTCCTTGTCATAGCGTCCTATATAACTTAAGGCCAGCACCTCTCTATCAGGAAGTGTTTATTTGCAGAACCTCAGGCCTCCTTTGGTGCGAGGGACACCAGAAGGAGGCCTTTTGGTTAACCATTGAAGCCTCCAGGTCTGCTGGGGAGATAATGGTGAGTGTAGAGAGAGCCCACCGGCAAATTGTGGGGTGCCTAGGTGTTTGAGCACAGCAAATCTCCCCATTCATAGAATGTCCCAGCTCTGACCTCCACAGAGTGAAGGCTGACAGTGCCGGGTAATGGGAAATCTTCTCCCTTAACTGCCGTGGGCTCCATTTGCATAGTTTAATCTTCTCCTCTAACATATGTCTCTATGTAGCAAGAGAGAGGGTCCCCCCCCCCCACTCCCGCCTTCCCCTTCTCAGGCTGCTGTTGCAGCAGTTTATTTCTTCAAATTAACATGCTGTCGTTACCCATCAGGCCTTGCGGGATCCATTAAATTACCCCTGGCTCCCCCTCATCCTTTCCCTAGCGATATTGATATTCAGGGAAGGTCTTCTCTGACTAGGGAATCAGGTCTCCCACCCCCAAGTTGAGGATCAGATAACCTGCTGATTACTTGGAATGGAATAAATCTTTTAAGAAGTCCTCCTGCCTTAAAACAGAGGATGGATGAAATGACCCTTTTCTGCTCCCAGTCCCTCTGGCCAAGTAAAATTATGGCTGTACTTCCTAGAAGGGACTGAGAAGTCGGGCATCTGCCTTTTCCTTCTCCACTGCCAAACTTCAGTCAGGTCTTAACTCCAGCTTTCTCCCATGCTAAATGCTTGTTTTCTCTGTGCCGTAGGGTGAAGATGTCCCCCTAACGGAACAGACCGTGTCTCAGGTACGACTTTCTCCTTTCTTCCTCTCCAGATGGACTGGGTCCCTGAAGAGGCTAGAATAGCACTCCACCCCAGCCCAACTTGGAATGAACCTAGAGACCGAAGACACCTCTTTCTTGGCTCCGCCCTATTCCAGAGAACTGGGACTCCTACAGCCAAACACTCCCGATCCCACCCAACTCCTGTCCCACTTCCCGTGAGCCGTGGCTGTCAGCCTTGCTCTGCACCCTTCAAACCCTCCCTGCTTGATGCCTCATTCAGTGATTTATTCTCCAGCAGAGGCTTGCCTTAAGCAGATGGTCTGTGTGCGTGCACGCGCACACACACACTCTCTCTCTCTCTCTCTTCTCTTATTATTCAAATGAGGGCTAAGCTGGAAATGCATATTCTAGAACAAGCAGGTTTTGCAGATCCATCCTGCTTCTCTGCAGATAAGATTGTCTACCTGATGCGAGAGTCAAGGGAGGGATTCTGTTTTCTACCTACTTGGAATTCTCACGGAGAAGTCCATCTGGATGCGGTCACCCCTCCTTTCTAACATATGTCCAGTAACCCCCAATTTTTTTCTCTCCTCCCAGGTATACCTCTTCTCTCTTCATGCCCCCAGTGGATTTGAATTTTTTTGGAATTTCCCAAACTGACAGTCCTCTAGGGCTTTAGAGAGCTTCTTCCCATCCCTCTGCCCTTGGGGATTTTCTATTTGCCATTCTTCTAAGGACAGGGAAGGCAAGTGAGGGGAAGGAGAGCCCCAGTCTCTGTCCTTGCCCTGCCCTCCCCCCAGCCAGCCCCTCACTGCTGCCCTTGTCCCTGCAGGTGCTGCAGTCAGCCAAAGAACAGATCAAGTGGTCACTTCTTCGGTGAAGACCTCACTGTTCCTGGCTCCTCACCCCCTCAGAACATCCACGTGTCTGCTGTGACTCCTCATCCAGTCCCCCAGCCGATGCTCTCAGGGTCACCTCGGGGATCACAAGGGATCCTTAAATCTCCATCCTGTCTGTGGTCGCTCTCCCAAACCCCCATTTACGCCTCCTGCTCTTTCACACTTTCTTTTAACAACCTGGGAGTAAAGCTCCCATCAGATTCGAACACGGGGCAGGGAAAGCACCCTCTTCCTTTCCACACTGAATTGTGCTCTCACGCTCTCCTACCCCCCCAACCCCCCCACCCCCGTATTTTCTTCTCAACTTCTGTGCCCTTTGCTGCAGCTACACTTCAGATCAAAGCAGGAGAAAGAATGTGCTGAGTGTTTTCCTCCCTTTGCCTTTACCAGGCCTTCATCCCAACAGCCCATATGTTAGCAAGGGGAGGGAGAGAGAGAATTTTTTTCCTATAGAACGAGGGGGTGGCATAGCCAGCCTCAGCCACAGCCCCACTCACTGGCCTCAGCATTTGCCCCCGTGCCTTCTCACTGCCCCGTCATCCAGCCTCGGAGGAGAGACGGGGAACAGCTCATGGGCAGGGGACAGAGTGGAAGGGGCCGGGATTTACATTTTATTGGCTAGGGCTTATAAAATCCTGTGTTTCCGTCACAGCCGCATTCCCACCCTGATCCTGGCTTAGAGCTTCAGAACCGCTGTGGGTCTGTGAGTGTCCGTCGTAGGGGTGTCCATCGTAGGGGTGTCCGTCTCCCGGTCCACTACCTTGACTCTCCACCTTCACCTCCCAGGGGGTCTTTGCCTGGTTCGTCCTCACTGTGCCCTGGAGCGAAGCCAGTCCCTGGACGAAAACTCCATTTTTGTCTTGGGAAGAAGAGTTTTTGCTCCGAGCTGGGGAGGAGGTGGGATTTATGACCTGGGCCTCTGGGTGCTGTCCCCTTGGCTCCCCCACATGCATTTCCCTCCTCTGCCCTGAGCCTGCAGTCCCTGCCGCTTAAGCCCCTCTTCTCTCTGCCTCAGCCTTACATCCAGGCAGTAGCTCTGGGCTCCTTCCCTTCATAGGTCGCTGAGAGAGGCACCTTTCTTCAGAAAACCTTTGGGATTTGGCTTTCCCCAGGAAGATGGAGGATGGAACACCCACTCTTGGGTCTAATCTTTCCCCTCGACCCAAAACTTCCCACAAAAATGTCTCAAAAGAACCTTCCTGAGACTTAATTCTGCCCCACCCACCAACTGCCAGTTCTCCAAGACTGAAGTGGGGTGAATAACCGGGCATATTTGAGGGGCCATTTTTGTGTCAGAGATGTATGGAGCCAGGAGACAGCCACCCTCATATACTGCTATGTGCAAAGAGGAATAAAACAGACTTCTTTTTCCAAACTGCCTTTGTGTGATGTTTCTGTTCCTCTTCCTCTCTTTTTGGCAGCTGCTTCTATTCCTCTAGCCCCCCCCCCATCACTCCCCATCTTATAATATTTCTTCCCTCCTACCTCAGAGACTCCCCAGCAGTCCACCTCCCCCCCCCCCTAATTTACGGGGCTGTTTGCCTCCTTGGCATCCCTCAGTCCCCTCGCCTAGAAATTGGCGCCAGGGGTGGGGTGGGGGTGGTATTTTCTCAGTGGGAGTCCTAGGGAACTGAGTGCTCCCCCCCAACCACCCCCAAAGCCAGCTGCCTGCTCTCGCCTCAGCCATTAGTAACCCGGAGACGCGCACCTGCGTGGGGGCTCTCCTCAGCCCCTGCTCCCTTCCTGCACCTCCCACCCCTGCTCTGAAATGGCGCTGAGCGGGTTATTTATCGGAGCCAGCGCTGCTCCAGAAGGTCAGGACGGTGGTGTAAATAACCTCTTCTCGCCATTTCCCCGTCCCTCCAGAGCCTGCTCCCCTCCCCCTCCTCCACCTTTATTCGCACAAATGAATGTGGCTGGGCTGGCTCTGAGCCTGGCCCTGCATCTTAATGGGGCGGTGAGCTCACAAGATGGATTTAGCTGGGGGTTTTATGGTTGCCGCGGCGACAGGAGAATGCTTTGGTTTTCTTTCCCCCTTCCTCTGCAGGATTTTAAGGAGGGGGGGTGTGGGGGAGCCCTCCTCTGCACTGCAGTCTCGCAGGGTCTCCTTAGTCACCTCTACAGCTCCTAAGATGGGCCCGCAATTCCAGGAGGGAGGACCTCAGCACAGGCTGAGGGAAGGAAGGTACTGGGAGTGGGAAGAGCCTCTCCGGCATCAAGACATGAAACCGAGTGGTCCAGTCTTGGCTGCTGTACGAGAACCTGGTGGTTCGGCTCGCCAGCTGTGGGGTGCCTGTGCCCAGCATCCCCCTCGGCAGGTAGAAAAACAAGGAACTGCTTAGGCTCTCACCTCCGTAGCCCTGCATTGGAAGTTGGGGTTCAGGGGGCTGGATGAGGGCTAGGGATCTTTGTTTCCGCCTGAGGTGGGGAGGAAGCAGCGTCCAGCCTTACCATCCTCATCTTCCTACTTACCACCCAGCAGTGACCCTGGTTGGGGGAAGGCATGGCAGTGTGAGTGTTGAGGGGTTGCTGATCAGTGACAGTGTGGAGAACGGAGTTGTATCTCAAACTTGAGATTCTCTGAGCTTGTCTCCCCAGCCTGGCCCCTTCTGGACTTCTCCTGCCTTCTCTGTTTCCCACAAGGAAGGGAACTCCGGTGCCCTGGCCTGCCCTGGCCTGCCCCGTCCCTTGGCCAGCGATTTTCTTCCAGGACTACGAGCAAACTCTTCTCCAGCACTGACAAAAGCAGAGACTGGGGACCGGGGTCTGATTATTTCCCTCCACTGGTCTCTGTCTGATTCTGGGTCTCTTGTTTTGTAAGCGTTCCCTTCTTCCCCCAGGGAACCCTGGGAAGCCCCTCCTCCCCTTCCCCCTTCCCCCCCTTTGGCTGGGAAAGTGACTGCGGCCTGCACAGTGCCAGACACCTGCCTGCCAGATGTGGCGATTCCCCATTCTTCTTTCCCCCCTCCCCAAATGTCTATCCTTTACCCACCCCACTGAGCTCAGGCAGAGGGAGCCCCCCACCACAGGGTGATTTAGTGCTGCAGCCCCTCTTCCTCAAGTGCCCCCCTCCAGCTTCTCTCCCTTCGTCTGGTGCCCATGCCCCCCCCCCTTTTTATCCACCATGTCCTGCAGATGGCTTTCCTGGTACAGACTCCTCCTCCCCCCACCCTAGGGTGCTGGCGTGTTTAAGCCCCAGCTCTCGTGGACCGGAGGACCAATGGGTGGGGCAGAGGTGACTGGCCTCTCTTTCACCCATGGGAGAGTACATCAGCAGGGCTGAGGACAGAGGCAGCCAGAGCTGATGTCACTGGTGGGGAGGGGAGGTGTTAGGGGAGGAGTGGGTGAGTGGGGAGGGAACCAGCATCCCAGACTGTCAGCGGGGGAAAAGAGGTCTGTGAGACCTTCTCAGGTAGGTGAGAGAACCCAGAACTGTGGCTGCCCAGTGGACACCACATCTTCGTCTCTCTGGCGGAGTCTCCAGGTCTGGCAGCTGGATCTGTGTGGCGCTATGACTCAGTAGATGCCCCTCAGCTCCTCCCATTCAGACTGACCCCAAATACACTTAAAGGGAACCTTTAGTCCTTACCCTCCTCTGTTAGTGTTTGCCCTTCTGTGTCTTTTCTGCCTTCTACCTCATGTCACTTTTCTCCCCTTGGCTGAGCTTCAGTCCTGGTCATCTGGCTTCCCTGTCCCTCCTTGCACCCTATACCGTAACACAATATGGTCCCAGACCCCCACCAAAGCAGGCACTCGTTCGGAGCCCCCTTTTCTCCTTCCCATCGCTCTGGGGCGGCAGTGAGGTAGTGGGGAGTGGCTGGGCGGAAGAGCAGCAGAGGCAGGACAGATGGAAACTCCCAAGGAAATAGGGGAGGGGGTGTAAGATAGAGACGTACAATGGAAGAGATTGAGAGACAAAGAGGCAGAGACTGAGAGGTAGCCGAAAGCCAGCATAAGGAACTGAGACAGTGAGAGAAACGGACACAAGGAAAGAGCAGTGAGCCCGGGAGCAGAGAAAAAGCACGGAGGGATGGAGACAGGAAAGTCACAGCAAGAGAAGACAGCTGGGGAGGGGCCAGCCAAGGGGCAGCCTGGCTCTCCTGGGCTCCCTCATGCTGACGGGCCATAAATCTTGGGTGTGCGTGCGCATGTGTGTCTGTCTGTCTGTCTCGGGGTGTGAGTGCACAGCACACTTGTGTAGGGGTCTGTGATGGGGATAGGTTCTCGTTCACTCATTTCTTTCAGCAGCCTCCTTCCTTGAAGAACCCCACACCAACCCCCATCTCCCAGGATCTCTGATTTCCCAGGGGCCATTCCCAAGGTACTTCTACATCTTGAGAATCCTGGCTTTCGTACTCAAGAGGGCTGACCTGCTGGAATGTGCGGTCGGGATCTGTAGAATCAAGAGGCCCCGTCCCCTCGCTGCCCACCCCCTGTGCCTGCTCACCAGCTGCTCCTGTCCGTCTTCTCCTCCCACTCTCCTTGTGTCTCTCCCCCCTCCCCACTGACCCCTCCCTCAGCCTCTGACCCCCCAGCCGCCTGGGGCCCCCGGTTGGACGGGAGACAAAGACAGGATTTATCATCAGGACAGAGAAGCAGCCAGAGACCAGGGCTGAGGGCACTGGCTGACCTCCCTGGGATGGGAGGGAGAGCTTGGCCAGATGCTGGGAGGCTGGAGGCCTGGGTTCCAGTGGCTTCGGCTCACAACCCCCAACTTTTCTCACTGCAGCCTTGCTCTCTCCTTTGTCCCTGAAGAGTTAGGAAACAGAGAGACGATGGCCTCCAAGTGATTTTAGGCCTCTGAAGGAAAACCTGGGGAGAGGGAAGGGAGAAGATGGACATTTTAGGGTCATTCTCTTATGGATACTGAGGAAGGTTCGGGAACCAGGAAGCAATCAGGCAGCGGTCGTTTCCAGGACTAGAACAGAGTTTGGATTTACCACTGCAACCGATGCGATGAGAGGGGCTTCCTCTAATATGGAAGGACTTCTCCAGAACAGGCCCTGATTGCCAGTAGAGAGAGACAAATATCACTCCAGGTCCCGAAAGATGGCAGATACAGTCCTGCCCGAAAGTAAAGAAAGACCTGGAATCCTCCAACCAAGGGTTATTAGCTCCAACCCCTCTGAGCACACCGTGCTCCCTGAGATCCCCAACTGCCTCCTGAGAGGTGTGGAGAGGAGCTGGACCCTGCCTTTACAATAAATAGATGATTGGCCCGAAATTGTCTCTAGTCAGCAGGCAGGGTATGTGGTCAAGGAGAGGGAACGGCATGACCCAGGAGTTTCCGAGAAATCGGTCCATAGATCTTTCTGTGGACAGCTCCTGCAGCTCCCCTAGCTGCCCTTGGAGGCCCACCAGCCCCTCGAGCATCTCAGTGGTGCATCAGAGGGCTCCACAAACCTAACTCTGAAGCTCTCACACCCCTTCTGGCGACCGGCTCCCAACATCCTACTTCCTGCCTTTACCCTACTGTCCTGGGAGAAGGCTGCTAGAGTCATCTCCATGTAAGAGGGTGGACGGAAGAGAAACTGAGGCAACTAACTGGGAGCTTCCAGTCCACTGGCCTCTCACCACAAGCCCACCAACCCATTCCCAGCCGGTATCTGGTGGAGGAGACCTTCTTGGGGTTTCCTTCTGCAAGCTGAAATCACTCCCGCAACTCCTGTGGAAAGCCAAAGACTGGGAAACTGTAGTGGCAAAGGGTCATGGATTGGGAGAGTACAAAAGAACCCGAGTGGGGGATGGCGCAGGTTAAGGAAAAAAGCAGGAAAAGGGAAAAGAGAGCATCTCGTTTTTCCTCACTCCCCCTTCCCCCAATTGAGAAGGCAGATTTACAGCCTCGGTTTGGTGGGGGGGGGGAGGGGTGAGCATAAGGAAGACAGATCTGCAGTTCTGCCCTCTGAGTGTCTGGGTACTTAGCTTTAACTCCCCCATTAGCATCAATCCCCATCTTGCTGCCCATCCGTCTTCTGACATCAGCTCCTTCCCCTTTCTGTAGCCCAGGCTTTCTGACCCTAAGTGGCTCTTAAAGGGCCAGTCTGGACCCTTCTCTCCCTCCCTTTTCCCACTCCAGGCAAAGGTCTAGCGTGTGCGCTTTTGTGCATGCGCTGTGGCCATCCTTACTAAAGCCCCAGTGGATGGAGGGCACAGTGTGTGTGTGTGTGTGTGGGGGTGCCTCTTCCCCAGCTCTCTGTTCTCTTTAGACACCCCCCCCCCAGCCCTGCCATATCACTGACCGCTATCTTTGTTCACTACTTACCCAAGCCCAGAGTAAGCCTTCTGGCTGGGGTGGGGGGTCACAAACACATGGTGCTTGGAGCTAAGGGCTGGAGAAGGTATGTGTGTGGATCACAGGACAGATCCTCTCCCTCC